CATTGGGTCTACCACAGGACCACTGACACATAGCTGGCCCCGGTCTGTGTAAGTCCACATTGTCACAGACACTTAAGACTATAAGTACCTAGCTTAAGACCTTAAGTACTTGACTTAAGACCTTAAGTACTTGACTTAAGACCGTAAGTACTTGGCTCAAGACCTTAAGTACTCAGCTTAAGACCTTATGTACCTAACCTAAGGGGCTTAAGTGCCTAGCTTATGCTTGGGCCCAAATGTTGACCATCTAGTGAAAAAAAAATCTATCAATGCCTCAGATGGTCCCAAGGAGATATAGATAGATTACACTTACTCTCCTGAATGTACTTGTCTAGTTATCAACTTAAAAGGTAGTCATTGAGGTAGTCATTTTTGATCTCAAAAACAAGATTTCATTTGGCTGGTCGGAAGGTAGTACAAATTAGACGTTAACTACTGTACCAGTATAGTACTATACCAGGTATAGTATAGTTTAGACTATACTTAACAAATTACAGTATAGTATAGTATAGTACTTGACTACACTATACTATACTATACTATACTATACCAAGTATAGTATTGTAGTACTAGTACAATCTTCACCTAACCACAACTCCTTACAATCAATAAGATGATCAATCACAGCATGACCAATCAGCTTCATGTGGAGATTCTCCCCATCAAGCACCTCACCAACTTACCCACAACGAAAACCAAAAAGCTCCTTGACTTGCAAGTTCATCCTCCCACCCGTGTATGTATGTAAAATATTGTTATAAGTATGAAAACAATGTCAATCATGGTCTTGTGATTGACAAATGATCAAAGAAAACATCTCTTTAGATCACCAAACAAAGTCAGCAACAAGACAAAGCTAAAACACCAGCTTTGACAAGATGACCTGGTTTCTAAATTTGTATAAAGAGGTTTCTAAATTCATATCAAGATTGAAATCATGTAGACTGGAAGTTTTGAATGTTATACAGATCACACAGCAAGCATCATCTGGTTTCATTGTTTTATATCAATTGATGTTAATGTAGAATTGATATAGGCATCAAGAATGAAGGGACCCTTGAAGGTTTTCCCCCTTATTGGCATTAGATAATAGATCGTTTCAAAGTTGTCTCGTTCATTCTCTTGCAGCTTATCTATTATCATAACCCAACAGAAAATCAAGTTCCTACTTTCTTCAATGAAAATCAAAACAATTTGTACACTTGTTGGCTACAAATGAGATAGATAGGATCAGACATGGAGATAGTCAATGGAGGATGAGAGCCCTCAATCAGAAAAAGTACCTCAAGTCTCTTTATTCATCATCCTTTGTTTGAATTTGAATCTATCGTTACTTTTGAAATCAGTTGTCAATTCTTCTGATTTCATTTTGAGATCGAGTCTTGATTTTGATTTGATTTTAGTTTTGATTTGATTCCACTAAGTTTTGATTCAATTCCGATAAGTTTTGATTTGATTCCGATAAGTTTTGATTTGATTTCATGATAAGTTTTGATTCGATTTCATGATAAGTTTTGATTTGATTCCAATAAGTTTTGATTCGATTTCAATAAGTTTTTCAAGAGGTCGGTTCTGATTTTGGTTCATTGTTAATTTGATCATGATTTTCTTTGTGTGATTGTTCAAATGATTGATCGAATGATGGATTGATTATTCTTTTATGTTTTGATGCTTTTTTGTTCTTAGTGTCAAGAAGGACAAGATTGAAAAGATGGGGTTCTCAATAAACCATGTAGGATGAGAGGATTTGAGTAGTTTGATTTGAATTTTGATCGTTGAGGTTTTGTTGGATTTTCATTTGGAACTGGATTGATGATCGATGGAATTATGGGTCCCTTTCCCTCTTGACTATACTATACTACAGTATCACAATACTGTATAGTATAGTGGCAGTGTTGCCTTGTCTAGACGCATTGTTTGCATCACTGTAGCTGTTGTACAAGCGTAGTGTGGTGCGTCCACGCCCCATAAACATTGAAACAAATTGTCCAATTTTTGATCAGGCGCATCTATAGCAGAAATCCAGGGTCCTCCTGGATCCTCTACTTCCCCTAAGTAGATCAATTCTAGGTTAGTGACCTTCCAATTAATTTCAAGGTTAGTTACCTTTTGAACAACTGCAGGTTAGTGACCTATATCAACTCACAGGTTGGTGTACCTTGTGAACAACCGTAAGTTGGTAACTTTATAACAACCAGAATAGTGAATCTATACTTCACTATTTAATCTTTTACTGTGAAGATCAAAGTGGAGCCTTGGATCCAGCTCCTTTTCACTCCACATAAATTATAATTATAATTTCTATCTCCTTTTAAGAAGTCACCTAGCTGTATTCTGTCTGGGTTTACCCAAACAGACTGCTCATTCCCTCCTTCCTTATCATTTCTCTCTATTTCATATTGTAATACTACATATTGAAATAAATAATAATTTAATAAATCATTACCTACCCTACACTTCCCTCCTTAGTGAGCATAGAGCACTCTCAAAAGAGTACCCTACCCTCACAAATTCCCATGATCCCTGATTCACCCTTGTAGTCCATTTTATTACAAATCTACCTTTCAGCACAAAAACCCTAGATTTGCCTTGTTGGTGGCCATGACATGCCAAGAAGATCAGTTTTAGATGAACAGCTACTAATTTGGGTTCCCAAGTTCCCAATCCAACTTAGTTGCTTAAACTAAGGCTAAGTGTGGTTAGTAGAAAGATTATCATAAAACAAAGTGCGAAGAAATGAAGTTCAAGAGGGTTGAATCCAACAGTTGGCAATTCCGTGCAGAAAAGACACCTGGGGAAATCAGGTGTGGCATGAGTACAACGGCGCAAGCCAAAATAGAGCTTCAATGAGCTTCTGAGAACTAAGAACACACCTGTTTGTTTAGCAACAGGGAAACATGATCAAGTGAGATTGTTAGGAAGAATGTAAGTAAGATAATAGTTTCTTTCTGATCATCATTAAACATGAATACTAACCTGGGGAAATCAGGTGTGGTGTGAGTACAACGGCGCAAGCCAAAACAGAGCTTCAACGAGCATCTGAGAACTAAGAACACACCTGATCGCACACACACATTAGCACAAAAATTAAAGAGAAAAGTAAAAGATAAAACAGACAAACCTGTGCATTTAGCAACAGGGAAACATGATCAAGTGAGATTGTTAGGAAGAATGTAAGTAAGATAATCTAAAGGTTGACGTAGGAGATGTAAGTATGGAGTAAGATGATTTGTGATAGTTTAAAAAGAAAAACGCTTACAGTTTCTTTCCGACGGGGAAAGAAACTGGGTGGTACAATAGTGATCATTATATATCTAGCTCAACTCGTAAATATGAACAAAGTGAACGCTCGGGCCATAACACACATATCTCGGGTCACAAGCGACCTATTCCCAAACAGTCACAAAAAGAAAAAGAAATACTATTCATTTCCAATTCAATCTCCACATCCGTAACCTATGAATTGTCTACACATTGACTCCCAGCTCATCGACCTGAAGGCCTTGACTCTTCTTGAAAGTAATAAAAAGATGCTTGAAACAGATTTCCTCACACACCAATGGTGGCACAGCTAAGCTAAGTTAGCGCTTAGCAATCTTTTATTGCTAAGCTAACACTAAATCCTTAACGCACTCAAGCTAAGCTAATCAAACTTTGATTTTTCCTTTAGCGGGTGTGCGCTAAGCTAAGGCGGGAGCTTAGCTATCAAAAAAAACATGTTTTAAGTGCAAAAAAGGGCCGCTAAGCCGCTATTAGTGGTTTAGCGGCCAATTCATTGGCTTAGCGGGTGTCATTTTACGCCCGCCAAGCTAATGGCTTGGCGTTAGCAGAAATCCACTAAGATTAGTGTTAGCCAATCTTTCCTTAGTGGCTTCTAGCTAAGCTAATCCAAGGTGGCAAAAATCTGTCTAGCTTGGCTTAGCAAGCCACTGTTGCTCACACAAATAGAAACAAAAAGATACAAACGTGGTATATTGATACCACAACACAAAGCACATAGGATCATCTTCCAAATTGATCTGTGTGTCATTCATTTGTTTGGATGATGTGTATCTTTTTAAATATCACATAGAAAGACAAACATCAAAAAATAGAGCAAATAGAACATAATAACTGAATATGAAATGAGATACAAATACACAGTTTGCGCACTATGCATGTAATTGTTGATTACATGTATTTATTTGTATGTAATCAAGTGTTATGTGTTTTTTTTATTATGACTACATGTAGTTTAATCATATGTAATGAGTTTATTATAAGGAAGGTCATATGTTGTTGAGGTGGCTTATGCAGGACCCCAGAGAGCTCATATGAAGGCACACGATGTAAAAATCTGTCCTACATACAATTCAGTTGGTATAAACCCATGTCATTACCCGGTTTGATGGTCATGTACCGTCTGCCGGCCAATACATCGGGTAATCTCAAATTTTGACACCTTTCAAATTGGCATGGGCATCGATCTCAAAATGGAGAGTAGAGATCACATAATGATCGATTGATGACTTGGCATATTGATAATTAAGAGCTAACAACAGTTCCGGGGTTGGGTTTTATCACTGCTTTCATCCAAGTCGTGTTTCAATTGTCGCAATTGTGGTCAAAAGATTTGGTTGATCTTAGGATGAGATCGATTTCAATCTTGTTTATACACTTTTGATCCTTTGAAGGGGATTGCATCTCATCCATATGGATTGATCAAGAATTTGGATGCTCTCGATCATTTACAATTGATATGTTTGGATGATGATTTGGTACAAAGTATTTACTGTCAACTTGTACATTTACAAATTCTTTGTTGCCTTGTGATCAGAAGGATGAAATCGATCATGTTTGAATTTGGGTTCTTGCATTCCTGACGGTCTGACAATTTGAAAGACTAGACAAAGAAATAAGAAAGGACAAGCCAAGATGACGCGTGAGACGAGCAGTTTCTGGAAGATGCATACATAAATCTTAAGATTCAATGAAGAAACTTGCCGATTGAGATGTAAAAATTAAGTGAGAGGATCTTTTCCGGCTGCTTTCAATGCTGAGAGAGTCTTTTCAAAAGAAACAGCCCAAGTGCTTATACTGATTGACTGTAGAATCATCTGGACTTTTGGTGAGATCGAGTGATGTCCGGGTTGTAAGAACTTAAATTCTTCGTCTTTACTCTCTTGGAAGATGTGAGCCACGCGGTTGGGAGAGATATGGACATAGAAATATGAATTTTGACTGTCTGGATCCCAGGAAACGTCAACTGTGCTGTGTTGGTATCTTCCCATCACCACTGAGATGAACGATAGATTTGAAGGACTTGCAGCGGTTTTGACTACACTATGTTTTGAATTGGAGTTTTCGTATATGGCTAAGATACGACCAATGTATAGGGTACTATCTTTGATTATGATGACCCACTTATGTCGCTTCAGTGGGTTCAGTTCGCTGAGCTGTCCACTTTTAAGCCATTCAGTAGTGATGACCGGTATCTTTGAGCCAACCGTACAAATGATATCTGCTGCTCGAATCTTTGCCGTCATATTCCAACGTTTGTGACGACAAAGAGGTTCAACTTGTACACAATTCTCTTGATACAACATAGATAGCATCTTGCTACATTGACTTGGTTTCATATCGCTGACTCTGGTGGTGCCATCTATGGTAGGTGCTGGGAAATCAGAAGATTTGTTTTTCATTCGCTCATTTCCGTGATGTCAAGAGACAGCACTGTTGTGTTCGTGTCGGAGCTTCACAAGGTTTTTGAAGTTCAAAGTGGAGCTAGAAGTTATCAGTGGAGATTGCGTAGGTTGATGCTTTGTGATCTCAGGATGTGTTGATTCGGTTTGATAACTTCGCAAGTTCGGAAGTTGGAAAGATGAGTATAATTCATATTCGATTCTCTGAGAGAGCTGGCCAACAATTGAGTTTGCTGCTTCATCATTTGCATGGATCTCGGCTGCTGTTGAAAGCGCTTCTGAAACTGTGAGTGAAGGTACTTTGGTCTCTTGATAATCATGATCTATGCTGTTGGAGATATTGTCATAGAATTGCTTGGGTTCCTGAGTCCAAAGTGCTGGGTTCACATGCTGAATGCGTGTTGTAGAAGATATCGGACTGTGCGGGACGTCATTCCCAACAAATTCTTTCAAAACATATGCTTCCACACGGGCAATCTTGAGAGCACAAGTTATCTCCTCATCAGAGGGAAACTTGGTTAACAATGCCCAATTTGGATTGGGGTTTTCATTGGCAAACGAGTACTGGTAGCCTATCCAATTGCAAAATATGCAAAACCAAATGAGTCACCTTGTATTTTGAAAGAAGGAAACTTGCTTACCTGAGTGTAAATTGTCAGATTGTGGGACCTTGATTGTACCACTTGTTATACTCTTGACAATTGCAAATATCTTTGGCATCATCTCACGCGCACCTAAAACTGTAAAGTCGGGTGATATGACCCGCATCCACCCAAAACTATGCTCACATGCTTCAGTTCCGTGCTTTGAAAGTATTAATGGATGTTTTGGCCAGTACTCTCGATGTGCAATCACAAGACCAATCAGACTCTCCGCTAGCTGGACAAAGATCTTGAAGCTTTGATGAGAGATAAAGTTGAGATTTGGATTCATCAAATTATTTGTTTTTTCTTTTTGATGAATCAGGTAAGTGTTCCAGTCGCGTATGAAGAAGACAGTCCTCCAGGAACAGATGATTCTGTCAAAATGACCCATGGTAGGATTCAGCCAAGCATCACTCAGTTCACCCATGATGAATAAGTATACGGTGAGACCAGTGGTATCGGAATTTGCGGCAACATCGTTTAGTTCTGAAGCCAGCTTCAAGGTTTTATGATGAAAGCTGCGTAGTGCACGTCCATCATCATGAGGATCTACATTTTTGATGTCCTTCAAGCCCAATGGACATTCATCTAGATTTCGTAACGAGAGTAGGTTCTCAATATTTGTGTAGTATTTTCCAAAAGCAAGAAGCCAAGCTCCAGAAAGGATCTGGTTGGCTGCAGTCTTGCGCGCGTGCTTGGGATCTTGCACCGTGACAATTGGAAGATTTGATTTGCCAAAAAGTCCTACTTTGACGTGTACATTGAGATCACCGTGGTCGTATTTTAGATATCTACTAGTGGAGGCGGTCAGGCTCAATTGAGCTGAGAGTTCGCTTGCAGCCCCATCCGATCCTAAGGAGACAATTGGAAGACCTGCTAGGTCCAAGAGCTCGATGAATTTTAAGTGTTGGGCCAAGATATCGTTGCTATTCTCTTTACTCTTGCTTGCAATCAAAGCAACTATAAACGAGGGCATATTTGGTAATGGTACCTGAACCGTATAACAACGTATCTAGATATGAATATCCATCAAAAAAATCAGATTGATGTAGGATTATATCACAAAGAGAAATATAAAACAAACCTTGTCACACAGAATTCCATGTGCCAGTATATCCTTTACCACATTTTCCAAATCAGCAGTGGTCACAAATTTGATATCACCTCCTTGAGCACCTACAACTGAGCCATCATGTTGTCTAAGAGCTTTTAGACAGACAGTTTGATCGGTCCCTGCTACTAATGGGCCGCTGTAACCGAGCTTTTCAATCCACTTCTTGACCGGAATCATGTTTGCCAGCTGTAATCCGTCAAGTAGCTGAGATCCCGAAGTCCTTCGTTCTTCTCGCTGGCTTTGGGGTGATCTACCGGCAAAATTATCTCTGAACAACGACACAACTCCACTGCTATATGCACCAGCTGTAATCAACCAATTGTCTAGCTCCGGTCGATAGATGATCCCAGCCAAACTGTGCCCATGAGATAGGCGCTCGGCTTTGCTACTCATAGCCTCAACAAGCGCTTTGAATACAGCATGATCATCAAATAATCCTCGCTTCGCTTTTTCGGCTATGATATCCCAGAGCTTTGGGCTACCTGCTTTTGCTGCCTGCTCGACCGACTCGCTAGCTAGCTTTTCACCTAGGATCTTGGCGCGGGTCACTTGGAACTGATCTTCAGATAATGTATTATTTGATATATATTTCATTGTTTCCTCATCTGCATACTGGCGATTAATAGCTGAGTTTAGACTAGATACAGTTTTGATGGCTAGACATTCAGTACAAGTAATTAGGTCATCTTTGATTAATGTTTGAATCATACCCTGGCATTTTGTTGAGTGAATAGATTGGTTACTTCCTTCTTGATTGATAAACCAGACTGACTGTGCTTGAAGAGTCCTGTGTAACTGATTCTTTTGATCTTCAGAAAGGAGAAGTTCACTTTGAGTCCCAAAAAGTTGATTACAAACTTCATGTCGGGGAGGATGTCCGTGATATGTGCTTGGTGAATGCTATATGCAGACAGAAAGGGGTTGTAAAGATCGAGATCGAAGCCAAGTTTCATCACTCAAACCCGCACACGCGATCTCATAAACTGGTTGTTGTTGTCTATCGTTATCTTGAATCAATCAATCACTCAAACGTATTCGCTCGGTATCATGACTACATGGCCCTAAAATTTCAACACGCTCAATTCAAAACCATCAATCTTTGACCTTCATCTTATGTCATTTCAAATTACAGACCTGTTTTCCAATGCCTATCGGCCGATTGCAATATCTCCACTTTAAGTTTCCTTCCACAATGACATAAGAGTAGCTTTTGAGAGTCTTCGATTTTAATTTGACATCGACCACAGCCTTCATTATCGCCGGTCTTCAAGGGACAGTTTGAGAAGATTTGAGCCTTGAGACGCTCGAGTGCTTTGAATTCTCTTGATGGATTGTGATTCATTGCATTATAATTTGTGCTTGGATTCTTGCACTTGATGAACGGTCTTGACAAATAAAACTTACAATCAAGGGAAATGTACCGAGGTCGTAGATACCCGTGTTTGCCCGAGTCACGGACTATCATAAACCCATGAAATTATAGATTTTTACATCGTGTGCCTTCATATGAGCTCTCCGGGGTCCTGCTTATGCCCTGTCCAACAGAATGATCAGTCAGTTGGCACCAAAGTAATCTTTTTACCACATTCATATATTCCTGTCATGAGTTATTCCTTGTGTGCACACTATACTTCATCCATCCTTTATACCTCAAGGATCATAGGAAATACAAAGCAGCCAGATGATATCAGCACATCTATTCTGATTGCTATCTTGTTTTCAAACCTGCATTACTTCTTCTATCCACAGGATCTTGCTCTCCTAGAGGTTAGAGACATCTCAGCACCATTGTCTATGCCACAGATTTGCCTCATTTTAATAGTTAGAGCACAGTACCTCTTTTATACATCATAACCCAATTGTTCTAAGATCTATTAAGACAATCATTTCATCTCCAAATCAACAAATGAGACACCAACTTTAGGTGGAATTCTCATTGATAAAGACTTGATGTCCCACAAAAACCACCCTCCGCTCAGGCTTAACATTGATGAGAGAAGCAAGTGAAGAATTTTATGTAGACATCAGCTCTGCCAATGTCTCTTTTGCAGCTCACATCAGAAAGGAGAGTTGGACTTGATCAGTTCACATATGTTATACCAATTCCCGCTTGATAACTGCTATGTATAGCTTTTCAAAGAATGAAACCAAATTGTGTACTCCTGTGAACCAATCTAAAACCCCCTCTTGTGGTTTGTTCCAAAAATCTTGGAATTTGGCCTTGGGTTTTACCTATTTTTGTGTCATTCAGAACAGTTTGAATCTACCATTTTTATTTAATGGTTTGTATTGGAAAATGTCAGAATTTTGGTTCAATTGAATCCTTGGGCAAATAGTTGACAAATGTGACACAAATGACATAAGGTGTCAAGTTACAGCCATTCTTAAAAAGTTTGTTTTTTTCAATATCACCTTTATTTTGTATTACATACACATCAAAACCTATCAACACCCATAGATATCTGTCCCGTCCAAAGAAGCCTCTCTCAATCCAGGTGGTGGTCAATGCATGTTTGGCGCTTCAAAGGGCGCACAAAATAAGGAGTGGCGCGCCCCTACACCAATAGACTGCTTTACACCCATTTGATATGTCTTATGACTTGTCAGCCCTCTTCAAATTGTCAACACAAGAAAAAGTTATTTAATTGAGAAAGTTATCCTGTTTGAGTGGAATTGATTTTACAAAATAGCCGCTCTGTGTCTGAGCATCTATCACCACCTTGATTGCTGTTTTCATCAATGAATTTCCCTTGTTTCTTACTCAATTTGCCCTTTCTTCATTAGACGCACTGTAAATGGAAGAGCTGTGTGTCCCACTTTCTGAATGCTGCAGTCATTGCCATTTTTCAAAGCAATTGATTTGTTTCAACATTTGAAGACTTTTTCTTTACTTTTTGGCTCACAAGACGCGCCTCAACTGTGAAGAATCCATGTATTTTTTTATATCTTTCAAAACTTTAGAAAGTTTCCTTATTGATATCTTTGTGCTTGGTGAGACTAATCCAAATAAATCCTACTGAACTGAGGATCTTCAAAATTTCAAAACACAAGAAATGACTTGAAGTTTGTTTTTGCTTTACTGAAGGTGAGGGAACTTAATTAGATGAAACAAATAGATTAAATTGATAAAAAAGTATTGAGAGATAAGAAAAACAAAGTAGATGAAAAAATAAGAAAAAAACATTCAAGAAAACAAATTGAAAATAAGACTGGACTTGAACAAAATCTACTGCCATCATTCACATCTCACTATAGAATTTGTTTAAAAATTCTAACCCAGCCAACACTTCGGCGTGCGTTTTACCACCATGGACCACCTCGGGAGCCGAAGAGGGTAATCCAAAAGGAGACAGTAATGCTTCATGGATCGTGTAAAGCTTCTCCTTTGGAGTTGGAGTAGCTTGTTTCTTACACAACCACCTTGGAGTGGTCGATCTTGGTCCAGTTGACGCAATCCGTCTTGATGATGGGGTGGAAGTTGGCAGCTTTGAAGTAGAGCCAATTGGTGATACCACACTTGATGTGGCTGGAGACAATGAGATAGTGAGCCCAGGTGTGAAAATCGTTGAAGACACTTTGCTGGGCAGTGTCTGTCTGTGCTTTCTGGGGACTCGGACTGGCGTAGAAATTGACCAGTCGACCAAGTCGGCATTGTTTTGAAATTTGTGCATCTCTGATCTCGGAAAGTCGATGCCTTTTGACTTTCCGTGTTTAGAAGACTGAAGAGAAATGTCATAGAAGTATAAGTATGTGGTTGAAAATCATCCATTGAACGTGGAAATAGAACAATCAACACTACACAAAATGTCATCTTTACCGGGCGGTAAAGAAAACTACTGACATAGAAAAGTCCTGAGGCAACAGGAAGAGAGCTAAAAATCTGAAAAAATATGCACCTTGTTCCTAGATGTTGGGGCGTCATGACGAGTATTTTTTTGTATTTTACACACAGATACTGGTTAATGTACCAACAATAAACACTGAAAATCATCAAAAATTCACGTGTAACAATACCTGAAATTTGGCCCTTGACTTTGAAGACAGGATTTTGGAATCTTCAAACATCAATAACTTTTGCAGTTCTGAATCAAATCACTCGATTTGAAGTGCATTAAAAAGGTGAGCCTTTCCTCTACATTTTTCATTGAGACATCACATCTGTAGCTGGTCTAAAAAAGATCCTACAGAGCTATTCATGCAGAACTGTTTGAACATATGTAGAGTGTTTAAATGACTAGATAGCACCTTACTAATATTATGAAGTGTGAAGGAGAATAGTTCAGCTTTTGAATGAACCAAAAATCGAGTTATTCGGCGCAGAATTGCAAAAGTTATTGAAGTTTTTAGACCACAACATATTGTCTTCATACTCATGACCCAAATTTCAGGTATTGTTACATGTGAGTTTTTGATGATTTTCAGTGTTTATTGTTAGTACATAAACCAATATCTGCGTGTAAAATACAAAAAAATACTCATCATGACGCCCCAACATCTAGGAACAAGGTGCATATTTTTTCAGATTTTTAGCTCTCTTCCTGTTGCCTCAGGACTTTTCTATGTCAGTAGTTTTCTTTACCGCCCGGTAAAGATGACATTTGGTGTAGTGCAATCAGGTCGGACAGGACGAACCGAAATAACACCGTCATCCGCACTGGGTCCAGCGACTTCCACCTTGGTCTTTACAGTCTCAAAGGGGTGAATGACCTTTTGGCTGAAATTCTGGTTTACAGGGAAACCAGCAGGAACACGGATAGGAACTTTCGTCTATGTGAAGGAAATTTGAACGTCAGAGCAGATCGAAATATATGATGCCAAAAGGTTGGCGAGAACATCACTTACGGATCGTTGGCTTGCGTATCGGCGTGATGTCGCGTTGTTTGCCGATCTAGCCAAAGCTGCCAACATTGGATCGGATTGGTCCTGTTAAATAGACCAGATGAAAAACAGAGATGAGCTTCAGTTATCAATAATGACACAAAATGAAAATTTAACAATATCCACATAGAATCAATCAAGTGGAACATCAACAAACCAAACTATCATCTTCATCCGCATCAACTTCCGTCTCGTCGTTCAAATCATCAAAGGTACAAAGTAACCTTTGGCTGAAGTTTTGATTCACTGGGAATCCGGCTGGAACACGCACAGGGACCTTTGTCTATGGGAAGGAAGTATAAATATCAGATCAGATGAAGATAAGGGATCACAAAAGTTAGTGAGAAAAGCACTTACAGATCTTTGAGAAGCGTATCGGTTCGAAGTTGAAGTGTTGGCCGACCGAGCCAAAGCCACCAAGAGCGGATCGCATAGGTCCTGTTAAAGGAACAAGATGAACAAAAAGCGATGAGGTTTAATGATCAGTTATGAAAAGGTAAATGAAAATTCTAACGACATTAACGCTTACCAGTGTAGGTTTCACCACCGGTTTCGGATGAGCCAACTCATAGGCTTTGGCACGCTAAAGTAAACAAATCAAGGTTAACAAGCGAATCACAGTTTCATTGAAAGAGAGTTACGAAACTCACTTTAAAATTTGAGGACGAGATACCGACAACCTTGTTAGGCTTGTCCGATAACTTGAGTGCTGATAAAAATCGTGCACGGCGACAGGGTTGGTTGGATTGAGAATTCATGATTGGGAATTGTTGTTGAAGAGAATGGGTAAAGGTAAGAAGATAAGAGCGCGTGGGTTTCGAATAAGTAGTCAAGAGAGGATAAGGATAGTTTGTTAGGGAACTAGCGAGAAAGGTAAGATTTAGATGTGTTTTTGAATCTTAGAATGGATGGAATGATGGTAAGAAATGTTTCGAGGTGAGCAAAAGGGTGAGTATTTATATCGAATTTCATACGACCAGATGCTGATGAGCAGGCTCTCTGCCTTCATACGGAAACTGGCGCATGGATGGGTTTAACATGCAATCCTCAAGCAGGTACAAATTTCTATCTACGTTGTCCTGAATAATTTCCTCGCCATCTTTTAGTTCCGAGCTCGGGAAGGATCCCTTGAAGTATGTCAAGTAGGATACTTGGAGTCACACTCAACAAGGGCAATAATTTTCGATTTTAGTCGGTTCTTATTCAAGATCCAAACATATTCTATTCATCACATGTTTCGTTAAAGCGCCCAATATATTTTTACCTGGAAAGTTGTTGACTGAGTTTTGTAGATTAGGGCGCGAACATATCAACTAAATGATTATAAGATGGCTGATGACCGTTTAGAAATGTGTGAGAGTTGATAGGACTGCACTAAATCTCGCAGGAGAATCAATCAGAGGCACTCACAAAATCAAACACGGACTATAACCAAGTTGAAGCAAGGAATCGGAGCGTACTGTCTTATTTTTGTTCATTGAAAGATCTCAGGTGTGATTATAATCTTACAACACTGCCTCTTGGACCACCATGCATTACCATCACCTTATTCCCCTCATTGCTTGAAATGGACAATTGAACCCATGTCGACAACTGATCCCCTTTGCCTATGTGCAATAAATCAGACTTGACCAAGATGCATATTCATAGATGGACTTGAAATCAAAACTGATTCAGGAGATGATTTGAAGACCAATCTTTATACTATTCTCGCGTTTTTGTCAATGATTATCAGTCCATACCTCTAGAGGCGCATTCCTAGATCCTGGGTAAGTTAAACTCAAAAGTATAAAACCCAAACCCACTCAAATCGGCTCACCATATGATACAAAAATTATATATAATCCAATTATGATGATTTTTTTTTCATTTTTTTGTTGCTTTCAAAATAATAGGTATAAGAAAATGTTCAAAACAAAAAACAAACATAATCAAATCAATCTTCGAATTACAAAACTTCAATCAATCCATCCATCAATCAAAATTAGCTAAAATCATTTCGATTTGACCATTAATTTCAAACAGTTTCGAATGTAATTTAACTTCATCTGTAACCCTATGCCAAAGTTTATTAAATAAACTATCGATGATATCTGATTTACCTAAAACTGATTCATAAAGTTCTGTAGCAGAAAAAAAAGGATGTAAGAAAAACATAAATTGGATTAGTTTTTTATCTTTCAATGCCATTTTACGTTTCTGATCAATAAATTGAAGGTTTAATTGATCACTTACCCATGATACATTTCATTACATCAGATCCAATATTAAACCATCGAGGATCGGTGATATATTTTGTTAAGAAACGTAAGATTGGAGCTAAGCTAACTTCATCTCTTCCGGAAAGAGCTTGATGTAGTCCATCTCGATGAATTAGTTCCCGACATAGAGCAAAGGTGATGTTAGGAGGGGTTGACTGAACAAAAACACAGAGTCAATCGTATTAGCATGAGAACATTTGAGTAACATTTAATCAGATCACATAGTGGTATAAGAGATGATTGTGAATCTTACAGGAGTCAAGACAGAATCGAGAGCATCACCATATCTGAATGATTTCAACATCCGATCCCAAACTTGTAGTTTTTGTTTTCGTTTTCGTTTCGTGACTGTGGTCTCTGGGATAGGTACAGTAGTTTGTACAACAGAATGCCCAGGATCTGTTCCTTCAAGATTTTCACGTGGGTTCTCTTCATTGCTACTATCCAATCCTGCTCGAGCCATTTCTTCCATCAAATGAGTATCCTGTCTATCCCATACAGTTTCAGATCCAGCTGCTCCACTCAACGTCATTCCTATTGATGATTGTTTTTCCTTAGCAGCTTTAAGACGTAGAGCTTCCACTTTTTTCTGATGTCGTTTTCGAATACTTAGACTACCATCTGTACATCCTACTACGAGTGTTCCATCATCAGGAGAAACACCCATCGATAAGATTGGAGAGCTATATCGAATGGTATGTCGAACTTTGTAAGACCCAGTCGAAAGATCATAAACTTTGACTAATCCATCCAAACCACCTGACAAAAGCCGCCTAGTAGGATTTCGAAGATCATCATCACCATTACAAGGACCGATAGCCCAACTCAAACTAGTGATTGTTTTTTGATGATTACTAAGACTGACGAGATTCTGTTTATTACCACTTCCACCTAAAAGATCCCAAACTCTAGCCACCGGTCCACCAGCTGAAACACCTAATGTACCACTAGGATGAATCAAAATGTTTTCAATAGGTTCTTCATGATCAAGAGTCCAAACCAAACCATTGTTTTCATTTATCCTATCATCCCATAAATTCATCTTACCATCATAACCACCTGAAATCACCAAATTAGGTGCCATAAAATTACCCGCTCTAACATAATCTGAATGACCCATAAAAGTTCTCATGATTTTAGAGGTAGCTAAATCGAAAAGCCGTACGGTCGAATCATCTGAACAAGTTAAGATTGAAGAAGAACTTGGAGAAAACCTAACGACATGAACAGGTTGTTTATGATCTTGAAATGAACGTAAGATTGCACGAGAATTCAAATCAAAGACTTGAATTAAACCAGAATCATCAGAAGAAACAATAAGTTTTCCATCTGATTTGATATCTGAAAATCTAACTGGTAATTGAAATCTTGAAATCGTTTTGACTACTCTTAATGTTTTGGGTGAATAAATTTGAATCTTCGTTCCTGAACTTATACAAAATCTATGCGGCGATTTAGATGAAAAAGTGATATGTGAGATTGGTGCATATGATTTAACGAAGACTGGATTCTTGAGGTGAGAATTGGGAAAAAAACAAAGAAAGGGGTCAGTTAGTAAAGCAAGACAGAGTGGTGATTGAATTGGAGAAGAAAAAAGTGAAATCACATTACCTTAAAGTCTCTCCAATATTTACTTTCGGACCTTTCAGCATCAGAACGTGTTAGACGAGGATGAGTATCTGGTTTAAGTTTTAAGAATTCCATTGTTGTTGATAAAAAAAGAAACTTGATGTCGAAGCTCCAGGCTCAGCAATTAAGAAATTTGGAAAGTTCGAAATTCGGAGTTTCACAGTCGATTACACAGATTAGCTTGTGGGTCAAATCCGCAGCACTGACAGTCGAAAGCTTTGTGAAAGGTCATGAGCGACATGTCATACAGTGACGTCATCAAAGACTGACAAGAGGTTTCAATCTTTTGGATTGGAAGAGATCATAATCATGACTGAATCCAATCAACATTCCCTCTTCAATTCTGGTCAACATTGTTCTTTACCTAACTGCAACACGCTCGACTTCCTTCCTTTACTCTGCAAAGCATGTCAAGCTTCTTTTTGTAAAGACCATGCTCCAGTCTTCGCTCACAACTGTCCATCCGCCGATCTCAAAACACTTTCATCCGTTTCTCAATCTGATCAGGTCTCATTCGAATCAATCGATGATTTGATTTCTTCTCATCGTCCAACTCCGGCGGCTTCTGCAACGACAGCACAACTCGAACGCAATGCCCGAGCCAAAGAAGTCCTCGATAAACATTTCCCTAAAACTGCTAAAACAACTCCTCTCAAACCAACCATCTCAGCGGCGAAAAAACCACTAAGCCCAGCTATTCAGCTCATGCTCCTTAAAAAACGTGCAACTTGTGGTGATCCGAAGAAGAAGGAAGGTGATGTACCTCCCCATGAGCGTTGGTATGGAACTGTGAACGTTATGATCAAAGATATAAATTCAAATGAAGTCACTCTGAAAGAGGCTTGTGATAATGAGGCAGAAGCCGGTAAACCCTTGTGGTTTCCAAAAGTTAGTCACTTGAAATTCGGACTCTACACCTGACCTACCTCATACTGACTCTATTAATTTTGAATATGTTGAATAGAAAACTATAACTGGAAAAGTATTTGATCTAATTACAGATTTGTTACAAAGTCGACTGAATTCACTCAATCATACACAACTTCAGCTACGTGTCTTCCGTAAAGATACTATTGAACCTGTCATATTGACTGAGAAATGTTCAACTGCTTGGGGAGATCTGGTGAAAGATGGTGAAGAAGTTTGGGTGACTAGAAAACAATGAAGTTGAGATCTTGATGTTCTTCAACTTCCTATCCTAATACTTTGTGAATAAATGGTGTTGTTCTGGAAGCTGTATACTGTGCAAGTTTGGAAAATCTGTCTACTTGAGAAGAAATGAATAATATTGGTTCTGAGCTTGGATCTTGTAGTTGAAAACACCAAGAGTATTGTGAAGAGCTTGGTTGCCAAGATCAGTCTGAAAAGGCTGAACTGCTTAGTAAGCCTTCTTTGGGGCCTATAATTGGGGCCAGAAAAATATATCTCAAAGAGGAAGAAAAGACTAGGAAGTTTTGCAACTCAGAACTCAGTTCCAAGATTGTATTGCACACAATTCAGACACCTCACCCAATCAAAATGTTCAACATACTGGACAAATGCAGTGAAGGTGCCCCAATGATGGCCAAGTATTTAGAAATAGTTTCAAAATGATCAAAAGAACCTTTTGAAAGAATTCTTGATCTATCATCAGTTTTGTTTCCATGAACTGTAGAATACTTTGTCATTTTTCAATAATTGAAGTGATTCCAATTGAAATGTTGAATCCTTTTATATCATATTATCAAAGATTTGATGCAGCCATCCAATTTTTTTGGTTCAATTTATCCTTCTAATCATGTGTGATGATCATCTCAGATAGATGTCTTCAAGCTTTAAGTTTCAGTTCAGATTCTCCTCAAGAAGTGCATTAGTACTTTCTCAATATAGACTTGCTTGAATGGAACTTGAGTCACAAAGTTTGGCCTGCTAGGCTCAGATGTGTGAAATTCAATAAGGAATTAGCTGTAAATACATCTCATGAAATTTCTTACAATATATCTGATAGCAGAACTTTTATTTTGGAAAGCACATCTCACTCATTGTACTGATGGCTGGCTACTCAGTAGACAAGTACATGTAAGATCCTGGAAAGAGGTGGTACAAAGTTTTCTCTTGCCTATTGCAGATGATTAAAGTTTATGCCAAATTTAAGAAAATTATGAAGAACAATGATGCTTGTGACAATCATCAAGATATATCACAATGTGTGATCTTTGAAATTTGCCTGTAAACTTGATTCAAGATCTAAGCCACCTAGATTTTGTTCTTCTTGTTGAGAAATAAAGTTTATAGTTTAGGTGTATCTAAGGGGGATAACTGAGTGAAGAACTGATACCAGCAGAACCTCTCAAGGATGGGGCCAAAAAGACTCCGAAAATGCTATGGATTACTTCAATGGGAACCTGAGGCTGTCTTCAGATTACAATGGGCATTGAAACTTCATGAGAATTGAGACATATCAGTACAGTCAAAAACAGAAAAGATGAAAAATACTGTCTATTCACTATATTGGCATTTGAAACTTCATGAGAATTTAGACATAGGAGATACAGTAAAAAGAAAAAGAATGTAAAACACTGCCTATTCAATATTGTTGAACTTGAAGAGGTAATTTGATGTAGAATCATATACATAGATAAACAGAGTAATTAAGTTTGACAAGTTAAACTTGTATGATACCCACATTGGGAATCATCATAAACATAATTCATTCAGGTAAAACACTGAGGTAGCAATAATCAGGTGCACAAAGTTTGAAAGGATTACCTCTAGGGTTCAAACAATAACTATTTGGATAAAAACAAACAATTAGCAAAACATATCAACATAAGAATTAACTGGAGATATAATTAGTTCTTGGATACTCAACAAAGGAAATGTCAGTTGTTTCCAACCAGTGCCACCTTCAACAACAAATCTAAGCATTACAGCAGTCTTTGGAAGATGAAAGGGTAGGAAAATGGGCTTAAGTGTTATATCTTGGTGGATTTACGGTTAGATATGTTACTTGTAAGAGTAGAAGCATATCTTTGTACTGGGGTTAGGTCAGATACTCTATATCTGAATATGATTGAAAATGCCCTTTGCTCTGACTTGCCATAGCCCATCATGGTATTATCCATGCCAAAAATGAAACTTGGAAAGTATGTGGTGCCACATACTTGCTTTGAGTACCCTTATATTCTTGCTTCTCCCCAACTGAACAAATTCCTTGCCTTGGCAAAGGCCCAGAGCTTGAGTGAGGGACTTCCCGCTCAAATGAAAATCATTGCCCAAGAAGTAGCCTGTATTGGCTCATTAATCTCTACTTCAGTTCATTTTTTAGGCAACTGGTAAATCACGCCGGTTTTTTCAAACCGGATTCCTTCAGAAGATATACAGCTGCAATACTGAGGTACAGAGCTGTACACTTCTACAGCCTTCAAACCTCTTCAAACTATTTCTGACGCCGGGTTGTGACAGACTCAGCGTCATTCCTTTTGAAATTTTTTGGATTGTGTTCACCACTGATCAATCCTAATTCTTGTTTCTGAGAAGGCGACTCAAGAACTTCCTGTTCTACATAATTACTTTTGTAGGTGTAGTGAAAATTGCGAGTTTCTACTTGTCTAAAATGAAGGGCTCTTGAAAATGTTGCCATTGGAGATGTTGAACGATCGAACAAAGCTTGGACCAATCACAAGAAATATGATATACTTTTGTTTCTATTTTCTCAACTCAATTGCTGGACAGCCAAGCGCTTGACTCCAGGAGAGAAATCCTCTTTGGAGGGCCCCAAAAACTCAAGGACACCACCAAGAGTTTGAGGATTACCTAGAATAATGCTGGATCTGATTGATAGTAAATCACCAATGGCCCGTCCTAGTACTACCCCACCCTTGTTCAACCCAATGTTGGAGGAAGTTTGCAAATGCTTGTTTGTGATGCAAACGCAAGGGTCTGAATTGTCAGACTGGTTCTCTATCATTGCGTTTCAAAGAACATGTAGATAGAAACATAATGTGATGGACTTGCTGGGTGAAAGTGGATTCTCACTTGATAGACCCGCAAAGACACAGAGTAGAGTACTGGCTCAGTCATTGCCCTCCTGAACTACTCTGCAAAACACTTCAACAGCAAGTGCAGTGGGCTATACGGTGTCAAAATGTGGCATATCTCTGTCTCTGACTCATTTCATCGACTTCTTTGACAATACTAGGAATCACTGATTATTGTAATAGCATGTTCTGTTTTGATGTTTCTATTGTGAAGAATCAAACCAATTGCAAAGCTAACAATTGTTTCTATCTACTCGCGGCTCCAAATTCTTGAAGGTAGGCAGCGGCTTCAGATATTTTTGTCCAAGCCTCAGACATCTTTATCCAATTCAAAAGCCGGCGTCAAGAAGCAAACTACAACCCCGGCCGTAAAGAAATTCTGAAGGCTGTAGGAGTGTACAGCTCTGTACCTCAGTATAGCAGCTGTATATCCTCTGAAGGAATCCGGTTTAAAAAAACCGGCATCAGGCAAGCTTTGAAGTTGGTGTGGTTTATCAATTGCCATTTTTTATCCCTCAAGAAACAATGTTTGAGGCAAAAGAAAAAGATAATTGTGATATCTCATTGGATATGCTCCAAATTCAATTGCAACCTTCTTTGTATCTTTCTGGGAACTTACACTTTAGAGTGATTGAAGATCAATCAGTTTCACCTTTTTCCAAGAAATACAGGCTCTGAGCAGGCTCACCGGTCAGAAAAAGTAAAAAAGACTCATTGGTTATCACCCAATTAGCAGGTGTTCCAGACAAGTATGGCAGAGCTTGCAGCTTGAACATATGTAATGGACATTTTTTGTCCTGCTTTGATTTTGCTTCAAGCCTTGTTTATATATAAACAAAACAGTGATGTTGAAGTAGGAATATCTCTTCTCAGGCAAATATGATTTTCTTTTTAGTCGCAAGTCCCTTGCTCAAGCCTCGGGCCTTTGGCAGGGACTTTGTTAAGTTTGTGCTTCTCCCAGTGCATTCCTTGCTTCACTAAAGATTGGATCTATTCACAGACCAGGTGAAGCAATGAGTGCTGACCTATAGCTCTAACAAAATCAACATTAATGTACATATAATAACCAAATGTACCAAACTTGGAGAATGGATCACCATGATAAAAGATTTATGTGATGAAATACAATGTTTTACACACAAATTTGGAACCCAACTGTGTTTCAAAAGCTTTTCTTCATTTTTTTTGATTTGAGATACCACTAAAAGTGGCTTTTTTTACTTCACCCACCTCCAAACTCAACTCAGAGAAAGTCCCAAGCTCGCTCCATGGCAAGGCATGCTGAGTTTACCTTCATAGGGGCATTCCAGTGTCCTATCAGGGGATATCTTTCCCCACCAAAACTCCCTTACCATCACAAGCTGACAATCGCCGTAATATAATTTAAAATCAGGACTTTTCAATGTGAGAAAGAAAGTTGAAGCTGATGGTCGACTTACCAACCACGTTTGTCAAAATTTGACACTTAATCTTGGTGTACTGGTCCTGACTACGGGTGGCCCCTTTTTTGGTCAAGATATCACACACTTGATAATGAAAATCAACAATAAATTTGATTGTTAGATATCAAGCAAGTTCTCCCTATAGATGCATGCAGTACTTGAGCTCACTGTATGAAGTTGCTTGATTCATCTTGCGCAGTCCTGACGCCCTCCAAGTTGGACAAGCTGCATTGCAAAACTGCATGGACTCACAATTTGAGGCCGTCGGGAGGCCCTTAGCTGTATTTCAGTCAGCATCAGTAATGCCCTTCATCAGTAGACACCTGAAAAGATTTTCTGACAATCACTTACGGTCTTTTTGGGGTTTGCAGTCCGCAGTTGGATATATGTATGTTAACCATTGATCACTGCAGTCTGGAAAGGCACATCCCAAGAATGTTAGACACAAGTTCTATATATTTTTATGAGACTCCTTGCATAAGTTTATGAGCTCTTTCAGACATATTCTGCTTACACGAATGTGCTGGGTCCTTGGGAACGCGCTCAAAAGCCCATTTACAGGACCTGCTGTTGCTTTTCCCAAATAGTGTCAAAAGAGAAAAGATGATGAGAATGTAGGTGCGAAAAATCATTTTGACCGTAAGAATCTTTGAGTACTATGATGCAAGGCTGATGGAGAACGGAAGTAATCATGACTTTCAAGAAGCTTGACGGTGTTCTTAAATAGTGCCCAGAGCTATAAATTAAGCTCTGGATGTCAGGCCGAGGAGAGATACCGGCGATGTAAACTTAGCCGTGTGCGAGGCAGTCTCCCGATATGCCAGACGTCGACAACAGGGACTTCTTGAGTTGTAGTCATAGGACTGGCAGGGAGGACTCGGGACAACGTAATGATCACTTTGGTGATTTGTTTTTTGGTGAGTTACTGTTCGTAGGATGCGAGCAAAGTTTTTGGAAACCGTCCCGCTCTTACGCTATTAGCCAAACTCATCAAGTATCACAAGGTCCCAGCACAACCAAACTTTGCGGGACTCCCGTTGATAGATACACATACCGCAGACGATATTGATCTCGGCTTCCAGGAAGATATTGAAGGATCGACCTTCGAAGGAAGCAACAAATCACATGTTGCAAAAGTGTACCACGTGCGACTTAAAAGAGCTCTTGTAAAAGGGCTTAGGATTCTGAAGAAAGACAGCCCTTGGCTTGACCACACCTCTTGTGCACGTGAAACTCGGACCCGACCCCAGGATACCTTTACATGTATCCTCGCAGCGGATCCGAAGGAAAGCGGACAGATGCATCCTAAGATGCTAGGATGCATCTTTTGTGACCTCGTGGCGCTGTAAGTCGAACACATGCAAAGTATTTCACCATCCTTCACACTTCCTCACACATCTTACCAGCACTTTTCACATTGTTTCACACTCAAACCCGCCTTCAACCAGTTTTTGAACAAGATAGCCTTCACACTTATTCACCCATCTATCTTCACACCTCTTCACCCATCTACACGGTTTCCACATCTCATCACCAAACACTCCAAATCTAAAGTTACCCTTCACCACCTTTCACAGCTGTGACACACATACCCCAACCAAACAAGACCTCTTGTCACCTTCACCAATCCTCACACCCCGATACATCCTGCAGCGACCTTCACACCTCTACTAACTCCTCATCTTCACTCGTTCTTCACTCGTTCCTCAGTTATCATGACCACCAACACAAACACCAACTCAGCCAACAACAACACAACCACATACCCTCATCCTATACCCCCTCCTCCAATCGATCTCACATTTCCCAGTCTTGCTGCAGGAGCCACCTATCTCCATGAGTTTGCCGCCAATCATGGCTTCGAAATCACCACTCTTGAAACCAGACTACCCACCTCGATCCAGTACAAGTGTAGTCTAGGCGATCATAGACACCCAACAAAGGCAAAGACTCAAGCGAAGACTCAAGCCCAGGAAACTCAATCAACATCAAGTGCTCGCCCCCTCAAGACATGTCCTTTTAGGATAATCTGTCGTCGCAATAGAAAGGATCACAACTCGTTTTATCTCATCTTTCAAGATGAGAAACATAGTCATCACAATCATCACCCACGAGAAGGACCACCCAAGAAAATCCCATTTTTAACATCACTGCCTCAACCTCAAACCACCAACTCGACTTCGCTTCCTGCTCCCTCTGTTCCACTTCTCACCTTACCATCAGCTATCCCCAACCCGTCGTCTGCAGGACTCTTGACCCACCAATACCGATTGTTACTGCAAGAGATGAAATCTCTTCCCACCGCTAACCAAACGTACCTACTCAGCTCATTTTTACACGATGTCGAGTTTGCCAAAGCTATTGCTACCTCATCACTCGCACCTATTCAACCTCGAAGGACCCCCTATCCAGCCCTCCTATCTACTTCTGCTGAAGAGGGAGCTGAAGACAAAGCCGCCCTCTCCAAAGGAAAAAATTTGATGACTAATATACCTAGAGCTCCCACTGTATCATCGCTGGCTGCCTCAAGTTTGATCCCAAACCTACAAATTAGTCCCTTGGATCATCAAGAGCTCATCGATTTTACCATCCAATCGATCAAGTCACCATCACCAGATAGTTCAACTACAATCAATAAGGAAACTCTTATTCTGTCACCATCGACCTTGCCTAAAAAACCTACCAGTCCTGTTCAAAACTTGAAAGATACAGAAACAGAAGATCACATCAGTACTCACTCACCTTCCCATCAAGACAGTGAGGAACGTCTTTGGCCAATACCACCCAAAGATATTGTCATTTCCAACCTCGATTCAGCTGCATCAAAGGCTGAGAATCATCCAACCGAGAAATGTGAGTCATATTCCTTTTGTTCTTTGGATCTCTTTTTTGTTCAACTCTAACTAAAAATCTCTGATTCCTGCAGGTTCTTCACCTTTACCCGAGTTCAACCTCGATAATCCCATGGAATAACCTGGAGTTGAAGCTGAGCCTTTGAAAAACGAAGATCCCCATGATAAACCCATGGAAGAACCCAAAGTTGGGGCTGAGAGTTTGAAAAACGAAGATCCGGTGGTTTCAGGAGTACATTGTCCATCGATTTGTGAGAATCATCCAACCGAGAATCGTGAGTCATGATTTGTTTCTTTCCTCTCTTGTTCGTTCAACTCTAACAAACAATCTGACCCTCGCAGGTTCTTCACCTTTACCCGAATTCAACCTCGAGATCGCCGTGGAAACACCTGAAGTCAAAGCTGAGCCTTTGAAGACTGAAGATGAGAAGGTTTCAGGAGAAAATTGTGTGTTGAGAGCTGCAGAGGATGTGTTACCCAGCAAGCTCGAACAGCCTGTCAATGATATCGAGCTCCATTCAGTACTTCCACTTTCCGAACACAGTAAGGCTCCAAAATCTCGAACTCGCAAACGTAAGATCTCCAAGCCTGAAGATAATCCGGCACCAAGTCTTCGCACACGGAAAGCAAAATCAAAAGAACCCGGTCAAAACATTCGCAAAGGCAAACCCACAACTATTGCTGATTTGCCGAAATTGCCAAAGGGATATGGTTACATCGAAGTCTCAGAGGACGTAGAAAGTGGAGAACAACAAGATGACTCAGTTCCTACCAAGGAAAAAGCCCAGGCTGTCGGACGAGGCCGAAAGCGCAAAGATCGTGGTACCATCCTTCCCTCAAAAGTCTCTACGCGTCGCCAAGTAGCAGCTGCTGCCAAAGAAGAAGTAGGTCTCAAAGAAGTAGGTCTCCACCAATTCATCCCAAACAAAAAAACGCTGATGTTAATCTCAATTTTTAGCTAAGAGCAGAATTGGAAACACCAAGAGAGACAGAAGTTCCCTTGGCAGCAAGTGCCGAAACGCCAAGTACAAGTGCAGAAACAACAGCAGCCAAAGCCGATGTTTTCTTGCCACGTGCCATCAATTCCACCCAGCCAACATCCGAAGCTCAGTCCTTAAAGCCTCAGAGGCACTTGGAAAAAAAGAAAGTCAGTACCTGCCATGCGTCTCAAAAACAAAGTGTTGCATTTCTAATCTGTATCAATTTTGATCTACAGTGTCAAAAACCTTTTATGCCAGAAGAAATGGAGGAACACCTTCAGATTGAGTGTGTTGTTTTGAAGGTATGTATCATTTGCTTATAAATGTATATCTTGAAGATTAGCACTGAGCCCCTCCTTACCTTACAATTCGACAGAAGTGGCCATTTTTGCAGGATGTACCTCGATACATATTTCCATTTGTCAAAAATGCTACAGACGTACCAAAGGATGGCCTTTGCGCTTTCTCAACCATCGCAGTCTCACTGGGACTCACCCCAAACCAGGCACCAACTATCCGATCAGTCCTTTTACAACACCTACAGTCCAAGTATGACTGGTATGCTGAAAATATCCTCAAGTTTGCTGTTGACATCGATATCACACTTATTGAATTGATTTTGAAATCAACTGCTCTAACTGCTGAGCAGAGCAAATGGTTTCTGATGCCATGTGGAGGGTATATCATTGCCAACGCACACCGAAGGCCGGTTATTTATTACAGCAAAACTGAAGCAAACTGCTCCTTAATACTTCCATGCTTTGCACCGTACTGCCATGAACTCAAAGACAATGAATGTTATCAACCGATTGTCATGGCCTTCATCAATGAGAATCATTTCATACCTCTCAAACTCGATTTCAATCACAACCTGCCTATCCCTTTCATTCATCCCGATTGGATGGAAGTACGTGAATTCCAGGTTCACACCTGGTGGTCGGTATATGAGAAAAACATTATTATTTATTTAAATCTCAAATGGCAAAGAGATTGGATCACCAATCAAGATGGATCTTATTCCAGGCGTGATGCAATAGAAGTTGAGCCGGAGGAAATAGAAGATGAGCCGGAAGAAATGGATGCGAAGGTGGAGGCTGAGGAACTGGCTCGTGATTCTGACACAAAATTAACAGAAACAGAGGAACCACAGTGGTAAATGTATGTTGTCTATGTTACCCATCATGCTTGCCATTCTGTGATTTTAATTTGTTGTTGCAATAAAACAAGCAATATTTCTTTCATAAATAAGTTGAAGTGCTATTACAAATAAATGCACTTCACCTACAAGAAGCAATAATAAGGATTGGTCCTCAAATATGTGTTAAGTGTGTCAAGCATGATTTTCACTGTAAGAGGTGTGATTACATACTTCACACCTATTCACAATGATTGGAGGATATGATAGTTTCTCTCCTATCCACGTGTTGAATACAAATTCCCACATTGTTCCAACACCTACAATAAGTGACAAGATGAATAGGTGGGAAATTATCAATTCACACATCCTCAAATGAGTGTCAATTGTGTGAAGCATGATATTCAATTTTTCAGAGAGGTGTGAATGATAATTTCCCACCTCTTCACTCTGCCTTGAGGATGTGTGAAGGATATTTTCACTCCTATCCATGTGTTAAATTCACTTATATTCACTTTCAGAGAGGTGTGAATGATAATTTCCCACCTCTTCACTCTGCCTTGAGGATGTGTGAAGGATATTTTCACTCCTATCCATGTGTTAAATTCACTTATTTATTGTTATTGGTTCACACCTTCAATAGGTAATTTATCATTCACACATCC